CTGCGCGCCGCACTTCATTCACGAGAGGCGGGAGGAATAATGAGGTTTGACTGACAGTTTAGCTTTGGTTATGATGAAGCAGGACATGTTTTGTGCATATGACGAGCGAAGATGCCATGATTTGACTCACAGTCAGTGTTGCCAACTGCTTTCAATTGAAAGTAGCTAAAACTGGTAGCTAAATGTCACTAGATGACATCACAAGGGCAAATTCACTGATCTATATAAAGATGAACGTAGATCAGTGGGCAAGATGAGAACTTAGATAAGGTTTGTCCAAGAAGTTGCTATATTTGTCCCTAAACTTTTGAAAAAAGTCTCAAAAAGGGGCGGGGAAGTCGCTAAATCTAGCTACAAAGTAGCTAAATTGGCAACACTGGAGCCAATGGAGTTACCAGGTTTAGTGGCGGTGGCGTCACTTTTACTGGTCCAGGATCAGTGATCCTTAGTTGCTATATTTCCGATTTGAGTTTGAGCTTTAGAAATGCTTTGGATAATGTAGCTTTTGTTAACGCTACCGCGCTACTTGATCAAAAAAAGAGCTCCGCTACTGAAAAGCTATTTAAGAAAACAGCAACGCTACCACCATGCTACTGAGAAATGTAGTTAAGCTAGTAGGGTCACTACCTGTACTGCCCATCACAGCAAAGATATCACGAATGGCCAGATTATTGAGATTTTCTCGCAGATGTGCGTGTAGCCATTAAAGCTGCAGTACGGAACTTTTGGCCCTCTAGCGGTCGCGGAGGAACATTGTTTTGGGCTTCGGCTGTGTTCTTCAGCGCGGATGAATATGGCTTCATGATCGTACATGTGGTCACAATCGAGCATTTTATCAGAGCTAATGACACTAACAAATATCCGTAGGCCTAATGAATGCATTTTGAGCAGGTAGCTTTTGTTTTGGCTCATTGAAAATAAGTGTTATAAAATATGCAACGTTAAAAAAGTTAAATATCTTACCTGTTGAGCAAGAAAAAGACCATCTCTGGGTTCATTTGAAATCCTTTGAAGTTACCGTCATCTCTGAAAAGCAGTCCGAGTTGTTAATTAAGGGCTGTGTGATTTTGCGCTTTTTGATTGTACTGTATGCTATTCTCTGAACCAGGTTTCTTTGTTTTAACAGATGGCTGTCCTCTTGAACGATCATTTGTGCTAATGTTGCTTATTACTAATGCCTACAAGCTGTTGGAACCATAGGTTGGAACTACGAACAATGCGCTCACGCTATAATAGCCGGACCTTCTTCTTTTTGTTTACGGACCTGACCTAACCTGACAAATGGCGGGAAAAAATTTCCGCAATTTTCAACCCGACAACTCAAATTATAAATCATTATTTTACATGTACTGTTTTTAATCTATGTAAGGCAAGGTTTTTTTTACCTACTTGGTTAATAGATATGTGCTAACTGTTATGCTTAATGAAATGTGTAATGAAAATACACATTTGGGACTTTTAACAGGCGCTTTTATCCAAAACGACTTCTATTGCATTCAAGATCTACATTTATCAGTTTCTGCATCCCCTGGGAATCTAACCCTTGGCTTTGCAAACTTTCTCTAGTAGTGAAAGGATCCAATTATTACCAGAACCCACATTACAGTAGCCTTTCTGTACATCACATTGCAAACTAAAGTTTCCAGAGAATAAAGCAGTGACAAGCTGAAAACTCTTGATTCCTGAAGACATATGGGGTGAGCTGCATTTAAAGGTTGCCATGTCCTTTCCTTCTGTACAATACAGTGAGATGTGCAAGTATGAATCACACACACCTCAAGCTTTAGGAAACACATGGATGCCAGGGACACGACTAATCTCATTGTACGTCTAAAAAGCTGATGTTTAGAGGGTTGATTCAGAACATTGTGGCTGTCAGCATAAAAAAAGTCTATAGTTTTAGACAAATCCGCTACTAATGAGTTCAAAGCAAACACGTCCCTCAAGCCCTGTTCATAATCCACTTATATAAGTGTTTTTTCTCTACGTTTTTTGAGAACACAAGCAAACAATGTGCCAAACAGCCATAATAGTTCATGCTGAACACCAACTAATTCGTCGAACTCTGTTCTTCATTGAAATGCTTCAACATCAAGTTGGCAAGCACCCTAAACAAAGATCAACACTGAAGCTAAGTACTGAACTTAAAGTGATCTAAATGAGTTTGGTGAAGTTGTGTTTTTTTTTTTTGCAGAACAGATTTGGAGAAATTGAACATTACATCACTTGTTCACCAATGGATCCTCTGCAGTGAATGGGTGCCGTCAGAATGAAAGTCTAATGGTTAGAGAGTCGGACTTGTAACCCAAAGGTCGCAGGTTCGAGTCTTGGTACCGGCAGGGATTGTAGGGGGAGTGAATGACCAGTGCTCTCTTTCACCCTCAATACCACAACTGAGGTGAGACCCTTGAGAAACTTTGATGAGTTAAATACAGAGCATGAAATCTGAGTATGGTATGTCACGTCACTTCAATTTCACATAAACTTCAAACCATTTCTTCCAGCTAAAACACGAGTCCTCTATTGATAACATTGCTTTCAGCAGTGAAAGTAATCTCATCTGAATCAGGAGAGAAATATGCACAGATCAAGCACTGTTTACAAATGAAAACAGTTCTAAACAAATATGTGGATGCATTGTGATGCAAGAGACAACAGGGGATCGAGTTTTTCATTGGAGGAAGCATTATTATGGATTATGGACTTGTATTTTGGCAAGAAGCGACGGTTTGAGGTCGATGGATTTGTTTCTTACAAACACGCAGCTTTTCACTTCACAACACATTAACTGATGGACTGGAGTGGTGTGAATTACTTGTGGATTATTGTGATGTTTTTATCAGCTGTTTGGACTCTCATTCTGACGGCACCCATTCACTGCAGAGGATCCATTGGAGAGCAAGAGATGGAATGCTACGTTTCTCAAAATCTGTTCTAATGAAGAAACAAACTTGTCTTGGATGGCCTGAGGATGAGTACATTTTCAGCAAATTTTCATTTTTGAGTGAACTCTAGCTTTAATATAAGAGCATTTTGACCTGGCATAACGCGTGTGCATGGGATTTTACCTTGACTTCGATTGAGACAGGAGCCATTTTCAAGACAAAAACACCTACTCAATTGTAAGAATATTTGACATTTTACCCTTTGTATTGAGCTTGTTTAGTTGAAAACCTTCAGATTATTTAGTCTTGAATGAGGGGTGAAAATCAATGAAGCAAGAAAGAAACAATTAAGAACACAGAGTCATTCAATACCACAGGTATTTCACTCGTATTATTAAACTGTATTCACATTACAACATCCACAATGTTCAGCTTGTGACAGGTTCTAATAATCTCAATATATATTTTCTGTATGTTACATTATACCAAGAGGCACTTCCAGTAAGTCTGGCAATAGAGGAGCTACAGTATAGTGTCTAAATTACAAAACAGTAAAAATAAATAATGTTTATCTAAAAGACTTCTGTTGTCGTCTTCATCTTTTTGTCCCTTTTTTTGGCTTTGTTTTTGTTTTGTTTCATTTTTAACCTGTACACAATATCATTTTGTACAAAATGGAACAACAATCAGCGATAAAATGAATATTTCACTTTACGAATACTGGTGATTTACACAGTTTCCCTTTCTATAGGTATTGCTACATGTGTTAAGTGCAAGATACAAGTGAGAAGAAAA